CGCTCAGGTGCCTTGCGCCCTTCGGTAAACGGTATTCAGAAGATAATTTTGCCTTGTGCAGGGCTGATAGTTTGCAGAGAGGTCCCGGTGAACAGTCCTACCTGCCATTCGAGAGCTGCCTTGCTTCGGAAAATAGGCCACCACCCCCCGCCTGCCATCACCGCGCCTCTGGCCCCCCACCAGCCATCACTACCCCTCTGGCCGCCCCTCCAGCCATCACCGCCCCTCTGGCCCCCCACCAGTCATCACCACCCCTCTGGCCCCCCCACCAGCCATCACTACCCCTCTGGCCACCTCTCCAGCCATCACCGCCCCTCTGGACACTCACCAGCCATCACCATCACCGCCCCTCTGGCCCCCCACCAGCCATTGCTATTGCCACCCCTCTGGCTCCCCACCAGCCATCGCCATCACGACCCCTCTGGCCACTCCACCAGCTGTTGCTGCCCCTCTGGCTGCCCCCCCCCAGCCTCTGTCACCACCCCTCTGGCCACCTTGCCAGTGGCAGGACCTTAATGTCCAAGTCATGCACCTCTCCAGCGCCTCGGCTATGGAGCACCTGGCCGCCAGCAGGACTTGTTCCCCACACTGGGATCTGCAGGAACCGCTTTGACCTGGTGGATCACAAAGAGCTGAGCCAGGAACTGAAGAGCAAACTGCAGGAGATCAATGAGGATGAGCAGAGGTAGGGGACCTCCGATATGCCCATTGCCCCTTCTCTGGTGTTTGTCTTGCTTCCCGAGCTAAGTGTTGCATCTCACTCCTGATTCTCAGGTTAGGAAGGGCATTGGCCATCACTTACGTGCAGGTGCAGGCAGCTGGAGCAGCCTCACCTGCCCCTGAGGGTCTCAGCAAAAGTCACACGCCCTTATTCCCACCACCTGGGCATTGGTGAACTGAGGGTAAACACAGTGTTCCTGCAAAACAGTAACACTCAAATAGGCTCACGTACAACGTAACAAGGGGAAACACCCAGATCATCACAGCATGACACTTGGCCAGGGTCCCAGGTCCCAGGGTTTTCTGCATGTTGCAGGGACCTCTGCATACTTTGGCCATGCTAGATTGGCCCTGCAGATTAGAGACAATATGTGAGAGACGCAGGAAGAAATGAGGTATCATCGGCTTCCTGTAGGTGCAGACCCTGGCTCAGGGCTTTATTCGGGGCTGGGTGGAGCTGGGCACTGGGGTGTTGGTGGCAGTGCTGTGGGGCCCCTTGCTGCCGCATCACGGCATCTGCTCTCACCGTCCTCTTCCTCACTGAGTATTGGAGACAGCCAGGGCATGTGTCCGGAGGGGTGGGGAGTGGATCTGAGACTGGGGCATGTGCCCATGGAGGGAATCTGATGCCAGGGCTTGTGTCCATGGGGGGTGTGACGTTGCACTCCATCTGTTTATGGAAATATGCTTGTGAGTGTGAATATGATGTAACTGGAATATGCTTCATGCAAGAGGTCTCTTGTAAGGTATCATTACAAAGGTTATAACCTACTGAAGATATTCCTCCTATTTGTATGTATGTATCATTCTTGTATCTAAAGCTAGAAATACAAAGTATAACTCTGAGGTCCTATTGTAATTATTCAAAGTGTGGGCCATTAATGGTGGCTTAGAATCTTGATGGCTCCCATTGACTAGGACAACTGGTTGTAAATGGTTTATTTTCCTGCAAGCCTTCCTGTGTACCTGTGGGCCAACCCGTGGGTAATGAAGAATGAGGTCTCACAGGACAAATCCCTGGCTGGGATGATTTAGCTGGGGATTGGTCCTGCTTTGAGCAGGGGGTTGGACTAGATGACCTCCTGAGGTCCCTTCCAACCCTGATATTCTATGAGACAATGTAATATGGTACTGGAATCTACCTTAAAGCTGGTACTTTTCCATTTAGAAGGAGGGGTGGGGACCCAGAGAGACAAAAGATTCCCGCCTTGTGCCAAAGCTATAAAAGGGGGGTGAAGCAGGACAGAGAGGGCAGCCAGTCATGTGAAAACCCTAGTTAACACCTAAGATGTCTGCTGGAACTAACAAAGGACTGTATCAGGGGAAAGGATTGGGCTCAGACTAGGAAGGAGTCTAGTCTGTGAAAGAAGCTTCTTGGAACATCTCTGAGAGTGAGATTTTACCTGTAATCAGTTTCATTTCACTGCAGTCAGAGGTGACTCCGGATTGATCCCAGGGGGTGGGATCAGAACCCAGCCCACAGGTTCCCTGACATGCAGTGACGTGTCTGTTAGCCCTGGGGCTGGGCACTAACGGCAGGGTATAGACACACGGGGCGGGGTTTGTGGCTCCCATCTCACTCCTGTTTGTGCGCGAACACAGCTCCCTGCACCCAGATGCTTAAGGATTTCTCCATTAAAATGAGTTTTAGTCGGAGATCCTGATCTCTCTTTGCCCTGTCCTTCAGATTGCTGCTGTTAGCGCACTTCTGTGGCATGTGCGACTCACCCAGCATCGGACACAAAGGGAGTGCCCGTCAGATACTGGCATTGCAGACTTGCAAGACGCACACCTTTTAAAACCTGGGGATCCAGGCATATTTAAGGCGTCCCTATTGGGAAATTCGGGACGCAAAAGGGTTTTGTTTTTTTTTAAACGTAACTAACGCTAACTAAACTAAGAACTGTGAATAAAGAGGGTTAAAGTAGCCATCTAACAACTCAATATTAATGTTCATAGTGACACCGCTAACGGACTCCGTCTCAAGCTGGGGCCGTTGAGAAGGAACTGCAGGGGTCGGGGTGTGTGCGTGCTAGAAGAGGCACCGGCGGTGCCGCGAGACTGCTATTGTGCTAGCAAAAATCTCCGCTTGATGGCTCCGGCAATGGAGTACCCACAGGGACAGCGCTCGAAGAGGAATCTAGGGTTCCTACCGAATTGGCATCTTGGGGTCCTTCCCCACTTACCCCACAGCAGGTCCTCTTGGCCTGCCTCTCTTCTAACTCCAGCTCATGTTTTCACTGCTCCAAGCGGTCAGCTAGCCTCCACTCCTCCAGCTCCAGCTCCTTCACTCTACACATCCACTGGGGGGAATCCAGGTGGGAAGCCCCCTCCTGGCTGCGGAGCTGGGTCCAGTGGACCCCTGCCACTACCCCAACCATCCCCTGCTATTCCCAGACTCTCCGGGCATCCCGGGAGCCCCGCTGGGATCTAGAACCTGCTCCTAGGACTGGTCATTCTCTACCATCCAGGCAATCAGCAGCTCCTGGGTGAGCCTCCCAATGCTCACCCCTCTCTCCCTGCACAGACATACAAGACCCCTTGTAGGGAGCTGGTTGTAGGCCCTTTCCTTGCTGGTTCCTTCAATTCCCTTGTTCTATTGCTGGCAGACACTCACTGCAAAGCACCTGCGCTGGCAGCCAGATGTCTACAGGGTGCGTCCACCAACCGTCTGCTCCTACCAGGTTGTCACGGACTCACAGGACTCGTGCTTTCTCCCAGCGCCGTACGGTGCGTGGGGGGAACCCCCTTCAGTGCGACAGCCCTTCTCAGGCGTCCACTCTTTCTTGGGGGTTAAGCCGTAGGCCCCACCACCTCCTAGAACCGCACCTCTCTGAGCCTGTCTCTGCCGTGGGCCCCCTCAGGGAGTCCACTCACTCTGGACCCTCGTGGCCTCCACTCCCAGAGGCAATAATGCCCCCTGTTCTCTAGTCTGGAGTGACTCTCAGCCAGTGTAAAACAGGAGGGTTTATTGAGCCTGCTCCTGCACCCTGAACCCCTCATTTCTGGCCCCACACTGGAGTCTGTACCCCCTCCTGCACCCCAACCTCCCGTCCCAGTCCAGTGAACGTGAGTGAGGGTGGGATAGAATGAGTGAGGGGCAGGGCCTCAGAGAAGGGGCGGGGCGGGACCTCAGGCAAGGGGGTGGGGCAAGGGAGTTTGGTTTTGTGTAATTAGAAAGTTGGAAAACCCAGTGGGGGCAGAGTCATGTGGGGGGGCCTGGCTCCCCTGTAGCCCTGGCTGGGGAGGGGCAGAATGACAGGGCGGGGCTGGCTCCCTGATAGCATTAGCTGGGGTTGGCTGAGTGGTAGGGTGGGGCTGGCGCCCCTGTAGCCCTGGCTGGGTGTGGGGGGGCAGAGTGATATGGGGTGGGGGGGCTGGCTCCCCTGTAGCCCTGGTTGGATACGTGGGGGAGGGGAGGCCTTTCCCTGCAGCCAGTCCCCCTGCCCCTGAAGCTTTGTGCACATCAGCCCCTGTTGTGGTTCACGCAGCTTTTCCCTGAGCACGGAGGATCCATCACACCCGGCCAGATCCCCTGGCTGCCCTGAGGTGGCTGCTTCCACTTCAGCGTCCCAGTTCCCTGCCCTCCCCGCACCAGCCCCAGTGCCTGGGGTGATGGCATTGCCTGGCTCCCATGTGTCTCCAGCTGCTCGAGGGGAGGGGCAGGGCCTGGAAGCCCTCGCCTTCCTTGGGGGCACAGACAGCCCTACCCCAGGCACTGACAGCACAGGAGCACGTGCGGTCCCTTTGCTGCCCCTGCAGATTGCCCCAGCCTGAGCCCCGCCACACCGCCCAGCTCTGCCCTGGCCACGCCCAGCAACAGGGGCCCGAGCTGCCTGAGGCAGGTTCTGTTCATTTCCGTCGCGCCGTCTCAGTGGCTCCTCTGCTGGGAGACGCCTCCCAGCTACTGTCCTGCCTGCACCTCGCACGTTTGTCTAGGACGTTCCTTGCTTTTTGAAGAGCTCGAATTTGGACGCTCCTGCTCCTCAAGGTCTGTGGGAGGGGAGAACCCGGTTCCTGGGCATTTGCCACCACTGCAGATGGGCAGCCCCTCACGGACCTTAGGGGTATCTTCCTGGGCCACCTCCCTTTCCTCCACCCGAGGGGGGCACAGGCCCACTCCTTGTGAGCCCTGCAATGCCTCCCATGCAGCCAGCAGGGGGGTGCAGAGCCCCCATCTCGGCACCTCAGAGAGGCTTTGGAGGCCAATCGCCCCTTCTCCCCCCAGCCCTGAGAAGAGCCCAGCTTGCGGCCGTCTGCAAGAAATGACCAGCCTGCAGTGACCTCCGGACTCTTTAATGAAGGTATCTGACCAGGTTACTGCTGGCAACCAGGCATGCCCTGGCCCTGCTGAAATAACACTCCGCGCCCGGTTTCTTCGGGGTGGTTTTCTCTTTGACCCAGGCTGCCCCTGGCTGCATCATTGCTTTGAGAAAGCATAGTAGATATTTTAACAATCAGGACGGCCCGATGGCACCATGCCACGTGCCCCCCGGGAGCGGAGAGGGAGAACTGTGCTTCGGAAGCCTGGCCCTGGTGGACCCAGGATACGGGCAGAACAGGGAAGGGCAGGCGCAAGGCCATAGTGCTGATGGGCTGGGCCAGATGGAGCCAACACCCTGCAGAAGACGGGGACAGTGCAGCGAGAGACAAACACAGCCAGTCGGCGCTGGGGCTGTGGGCTGACAGCTGCTCTCCCAGCCTGTGGGCTGTTAACAGCCGTGTGTGCGTGGTACCTGCCGCACGCCGGCCGGCCGGGGTTCTGTGCCAACACAAGGAAAGGCCACGGTGCAACGCTCATGGCGCAGTCAGCCTGCACTCTGAACAGCCAGGCCCCCACTGGAGCCCTGAGCAGCCTGTGGGGCTCCTCTGCCCACCGCCGGCAGCTCTCAGAGACAGTCATCAGAGGGGTCCTGCCCCACGCTGATCTTCACAGCCCCTTTCAGGGAGGGAGCCCGGATGACTGTTCCAAAGCCCTTTAATTAGCCTGCCAATGCAGGCAGGAGGGGGCTCTGGCAGGGAGAGGCCCAGCCCTGCAGCCCCTTACTGGGGCCAGGAGGGGCTCTTGCGTCTCTCTGGCTCCATGCAGGGGGGCTGGAGCTCCAGCAGGCTCCATGTGACTCGTCTGGGAGGCAGAAGGTGCTGCGATTGGCTCTGCTTCAGCTTGGGGGATCCAACGGGCACGCTCTGGCCAGGGACCTGGGGTCTCCGGAAGAGGTTTCTGCTCAGCAGTAGAGTCACAGTGGGCTGCTCGGGGCCCCACCACACAGACCTAAGGGACAGACACAGCCGGGCTCACTCAGGCCTTGGGGCTGCTGGGTCTGAGCCCATCCTCTCTGCCATATCCCCCACCTCTGTCCCAACCATCAACCTCTTACCTTCAAGCTCCTTTCTCCTCCCACCGTAAGCTGCTCTCTCTCCAGTCCCTTGTGCCCCTCCCCTCTGGGCCTTTCCCCAGCTCCATCATGGCCCTACTTCATTCCCCCAAGAAGTGCTGTCCCCATTCCCTCAGGCCTCCCACAAGCTCCCTTGCCACCCCATCCCCTGCCCCCATTTCCCAGACCACTCCAGGGGCTCTGCCCATCCCTGCCCCATTCCCTTGACAACCTGGGTCGCCATCTCTCCATCATGTCCCCTCCCCTGTGTGCCCGCTCTTCCCACGGCCCCCACGGCCAATGTCCCCCCAACACTCCCCCCTGCTTCCAGGAAGACTCTGAGGTGTCAGCGTCACTGTTACATGCCCCAGCTCAGCAGGGATCCAGTCCTTGGCCTCAGGTCAGGCTCTGGCCCTTCCCAGCCCTGTCCAGCTGTTAACCTGGCAATGCCACTGAGCCAGAGGGAAGGGGCTCCTGTGGAGAGAGTGAGCACCCCCTGGAGCAGGAAGCTGAGGCTCAGAGTGGAAGTGTAATAAGCTGTTCTGTGCTCATACCACTGAACGCTGCCTCTCTGCTCCCCCCTTACACTGGTGCATCAGGGGGCATCTCTGATCCCAGGAACAAGGCCCCCCCATTCTCACTGTGCACTGCAGAGGAAGGAGGCAGATTAGAGCCAAAAGTCACAGCGGCAGGGCTCAGCCCCCCCCTTCCCAGAAAACTCCCCAGGGAGAAGGCTCCCTAGCCTAACCCAGGGCTGCCTCAGGCAGGGCTCCCCCAGATTTCACCCATTACAGCGCAGCTCAGTAGCAAGCTCACCCTCACCACCATGACAGCCTGGACTAGGAATCCCTGGGACCCCTACAGCTACAGCTGGTCAGTTAAAAGCCCTGGTCCGTTTATTCTACAATCCACACACATGCTCAGATTGTCTTGAAAGCTGCCGTGCCCACTGAGGAGCTGGGGTAGAGTTTGTGCTGCAAATTTGGTGTCATTTGGCTAAGCAGCTCCCAGGATCCAGCTGCTGCAAATGACCTCATTTTCTAGTCAGCTGGTTCTTAGGGTTTTGCAAGTGGCCAAGGGAAAATGAAGCCCAGTATCCACGGCGCTCCGATCCCTCTCCCAGCTCCCGCTGGCTTCTGACTGGCTTACAGGGAAAACCGTTCCTTACCTGCACTCCGACCATTGTTCTGCGAGGGGTGGGGGCAGACACGCATTCCACTCAGGTGGGCATGCCCAGTGCCCCAAAGCCAGAGAACTCTGTGTAGCAAAGCCCCTTGGGGTACCGCACGCACCCCCAGGACCCCAGCCCAGCCCCCGTCAGTTCCTTCACACTGGCAGCCATTTGTCTGGAGACTCCGATGCAGAGGGACCCGAGGGCATGCCGGGGAGTACACGACTGCGCCCACCTCTCAAAGAACAACAGTAACTGTAACCATGAGTAACCGTTTCTTCTCCCAGTGGTTGTAGATGTGCAGACCACTTGGGTGACTTGCAAGCAGTAGTGGCTCGGCGTCTATTTAAATAGTGACTGCAGAACTGCTCTTCCACAGCTCACTTCCGCCCTAGAAGCCTTCCTGACCGTGTAGTTTGGTAAAGTTGGATACGGAAGACTCAGTAGCAGCCCTGAATATATCTAATATGGGAACAACGCTGAGAAATGCCACTAAGGCAGCCTGGTGTTTGCTACACCCTATTGTAATGCAGGAAGTAATCTGTCTGGAAACTGTCTGCGCCGAAACCACTTGACCGCTCTTCTGGTCTGCACAGGAGACATCACGCCGCAGTGATAATAAAACTGGCTTAGTCCCATCCAGACAGAAAGCCAGGTTCGTCTTACATGCAACATAGGAAGGTGCTGGTCATCTGCACTGGAGTGCAGCTTAGGAAAAATACAGGCAACTGTATAGTTTGATTAAGGTGACGTGGTGACACTTTAGACAAACATTTTGGATGTGGCCTTAAGGCTCCTCTGTCTTTCACTAGCTGAATGTCTGGAGGTCCTGTCATTAGGGCCTGAGTTCACCTGCCCTCCTTGCTGACGTTATAGCAATAAGAAAGGTGGTCTTTTGGCAAAGGAAGGACAGAGTACAGGTTGCTAGAGGCTCAAATAGCGGCCCTGTAAGGGCAGCAAGCACAGTGTTAAGTTCCAACAGGGGAACCTCTTCTTTATAGGTGGGAAGAGGCAAACAACACCTTGCAGACATCTAACAACCATGGGGCTGGAAAATACCGACTTCCCGTGGATCAGGGAATGAAACACTGAGATTGGTGCCAAGTTGACCCTCAATGGCTGAGAGCAGGTCCCATGGTTTACGATGTAACCGGTAATCTAAAATGTCCTGAACCCGGACTAGTACCAATCGAATTCCCCGAGTCAATGACAAACCCAAAAAGCATTTCCACTTGGCCGAAGAGGTTGATCTAGTAGATAGCTTCGTATTATTAGCAGAACCTGTTGGACTGCCTCTGAACAGTTCTTTTCCACTTAATCTGAGCACGCAGCATTCATACCAGGAGATGCAAACTGCCGCCATGGTGCGGAGACAGTAGGTCCAGGAAGAGCGCAAGAGGCACAGGACATTGGACCAACTGGCTGTGAAGGCTGGAGAACCAACATTGTCTTGGTCAGGCTAGTTCAATGAGTATCTGTTTGGCCTGATCCAGCTTCATTTTGAGAATGACCTGAGGGACAAGCAGAATTGGGGGAAGGCTGATGCCCAATTCAGTTGAGGGCATTGGTCAGAGAGCCTGGACTGTGACCTGCTCTAGAGCAAAACTGACAGCACTTCTTGTCTTTTGTTGCAAATAGGTTGCCAGATGGAAAGCCCCAGTCCCTGAAGATGGACCTTCACAGAGCACTCATGATTCTTGGAGAAATTCCTGCTGAGCTGATTGGACAATTGATTCTGGGCACCTGGAATGTAGGCAGCTGTGGTAAAGTCTTTCTTGATGCAAAAGTGCCAAAAAGTTATCACTTCCCAACAGAACTGATTGAAGTGGTTTGTTGAACTGGTTTGTTCACACACTACATTGCAGTGGTATTGTCAGGATTTATATAAACAGACGTGCCCCTGATGTGAGAGAGAAAAAACTTGGCACATTGTAAATCACTCAAAGTTTACTTGTTGAGACCTTGGAGGTCGAGTATAGGTGTCAGCCCTCCCTTGGATGTGGGGATCAGAAGTAACCTGAGTAGAACCCCTTTCCCCCAGTGTTGGAGGGGAACTTCTTCTATGGCCCTTGAAGCGCATAGAGTCTGAAGCTCTTGAAGAAAGGCTGTAGTCATCCTCCTTAAGGAGTGTTGGTGAGACTTAAAGTCTTCTGGTGGAATCGTCTGGTGAGGAGGATGACAGGAAGTGGAACAGATGGGCTCCCCTATGGTAAGGCTTGTGCCCGTGATAAGGGGTCACTCTGCTGTAGTAGACTCAGTGGGAGCTGTATCAGTTTGTGTCTCCAGTCTCGGTGGTCCAGGAAGTGAGACAACTGAAGGACAACAGCTCTGGAGTGAGCTGATGATTGAGATCTTGAAGAGTGGTGGGCACTCCAAGGAGGCCAGAGAGGAAATTAATGTGGTACAGGAAGCCAGTATGTACCGGCCCAAGAACTCATGTCCCTGCTGAGGGAACGCTGTTGTCTTGGTAATGATCTTCTGGAGGAAGGGGATGGAAGAAAGAGAGAAGGATTCTGAGCCTGATTGCAAGGAACATCCCAAATAGTGAACAGATGAGTTAAACCTGCCAAGCCCACTAAGTACCCCAATCTGTTTGAGGTCCGGTGAGGAGACTGGACTGGTACCAAGGATGGTACAGTAGTCAGTGCCATGAGTACTGCTTGGGAAGTTGAGCCTGCACTAAAATGCAGTACAGGAAAGGCTGTCAGTCCTGTGCAGAGATCAGTACCCTAGCCGAAGAATGGCTTGGTACTGAAGGTTTGGAGACTGGGACTAGCGCTATCGTCGGAGCCGAAAACGGTATTGGTACCCAAGCAGAATGTCTTGGTGCTGATAATGGGACCAGATCCACCTCTTTGGTGCGCTTCTTAACCGGTAACAAGGGAGAAGCCAGTAATTGTCCATAGTTGAAAGCAACTGACCCACACTGGCCCAGGACTGCAGGGGGCTTCCCCACAGATGAGGACTCCTGTGTCAGAGGTGAATCTGGGACAGAGAGGCAGAGTAAATCAGCTGCTGCCTGAAAAGCCTGTGGTCAGTACTGCCAGTGCCAATGTGCTGGCACCGGACTCAACAGATGTGTCCTGAAGATATTGCCAGAACTGACGGTATGGTACTGGGCAGTTTGCTTCTCAGTACTGGGGAGCGGGTAGATGGTCCTCGTCCTGCTCTATTTTGGACACTCAAGGAGACTTGCTAATGCTCCGCACACTCCTCCTAGAAGAGAAGGAAGAGTCTCTGAGCCCCGGAATGGCTCTGATTAGTTTTGTGAGCCCTCTTCCTTGGAGGACTACAGGAAGGAGAATGGTCCCTTCTCCATGGAGAAGAACCTGAGTCTGGCTGTCTATCAGAAATTGACACTAGCTCCAACACAGTTTGTGAGGCCGGGTGAGCTATGCAAGCTCCCAGATCCTCCTGGGGTTGCTCCTGGAGATGTTACTTCAGGCGTAGGTGTCCAGCAACAAACATTTTCCTTTCCTGTGCCCCTCTCCCAGGCACAACGAGCATCAAATGTGGTGGTAACTAGACGGGACAGCCACATGAAGGACAGTGCTTAAAATTCGGTGAAGGCATAGCGCCAGGCTTACTAACTAACCAGCCACTCATGGAACTGCTAACCCTCACTAACTAGGTAGCTAATGGGGCTAAAACTATTTACAAGGCACACAGAGTGATCTTGCTGTGGTGCAATAACCATGAGAAACTGCAAATCAGGCTGTGGGTGGTGAGAAGGAACTGAGTGCGGGGGGTGGGCACTGCCCTTATATTGCCTCAGGAGGGGCCCTGAGGAGGGACAGGGCGCATGTGCTGCCCCAGCGGGTACTGCTACACAAAGTTCTCCAGCTTTGCTGTGCTGGGCACTCACGCGCCTGAGTGGAAACATGTCTGTAGCCACTCAAAGGAGGACTGCCTCGTGGGAGCTTTTATGCCCTCAGCTATCTACTGCTCAGCCCCCCAAGAGCTAAGTTCCCCTTTGCATGTTGCTGGCTGAGGTTTGCTGGCTTTGCTCGGCCTGGATTTCCGGTTCCTGAAGGATCTCTGGCTGGACCGACCCCTCGACCCTGCCACTTATCTGCCCCTCCCACATTTGCGCTCAAAGGGATGTATGCCCACAGAAACCCCTGGGCTGTTTCTTTATGGAGCCCCCGTGCCAGTCGAAGGCTCAGAGTGCCCCATTCCCTGATCAGTGACTGCTCTGGTCCTGCCTCCTCAGCTGCAGAGCCGAAGGAGCCCCGCTGGCGCTGGGTCCCTGCAGAGCGAAGCAGGCAGGGGTGCTCTTTAGGGCTGGGGAAGCTGGGGGCAGGAGTGCGGTCACTGCGTGTGCTGAGCGGTCAGACCCCCTCAGGCCCACAGCTGGGCTCCGCCTCGGGTACCCCCTCCCCTCCATTCTACACACCTACCCTGCCAGGGTAGGGAGCCCTGGCTGGGGCAGGGGGCGTGGGCCCCAGCACGGTACCTGCTTGGGCTGGCTCCAACCGTGGATGCAGAGTGCGCCAACGTTGAGCGGCCTAGAGACAGAAGAGAGGCAAAGGTCAGAGCACTAAGAAGCAACAGGATCCAGCAACACCTGCTCTGGCTCTAGGTGCGGCCCCACGGGATGTGTGGGAGGTGAGCGAGAGGAGACCCCAGTGCCCTTCCAGGGTACAGCCATGACTGGAGAGATTCCTCTCCCTTCCCCAGCAGCGTATTAATGCCTAGGTCGACAAGGCCTAAGCCTAGGGCAGCAAATTTATAATAGCAGCCAGAAGCTGCTTCCCCCGGTACCAGTTCGTGCCCTCCACCCCTGCCCCAACTCCACCCCTTCCCCACCCCCTCTGCCCCCGTTGGTCCCCTTCCCCAAATCCCCGCCCCAGCCCTGCCTCCTCTCCTGGGCACACCACATTCCCCCCCTTCGCGAAGCTGTTTTGCACACAAGCAATGGCAGGGAGCAGGGAGAAGCAGGACCCGGCGATGCGCTCAGTGGAGGAGTCAGAGTTGGAGCGGAGGTGAGCTGCGACGGGGGGGGGCTGGGAGCTGCTTGGGGGGGGCAATTATTTCAGGGCCTCGGGCGGCAAAATCATTAATCCACCACTGCCCTTCCCCCACCACAGATCGTCAGCTCCCTCTCTGATGGGGGAGAGTCCTCTCGCACACTTTGCACCCACTGGCTACCCCTAGTGGGACCCACGCGGATCCCATGGGGGTGTTTACCTTGCAGTAGGGATGGGGCCGGGGTGCTGAGAGCCATTGAACCAAACTGTAAACCCTGTGCATGATGGAAACCACTTCAAGCCAGGGGTGCGGTCACCCCCCCCACACACACACCCCTTGTTTCAGCACCTATGAATAGGACCCAAATACCACCATCCTCATAGTGAGGGGAAAGGAATTTCCCCGGAACAGCCCAGCTCTGCCAGGCTCTGGTGGGGTGGGGGGGGAGGAATTTCCCAGGAACAGCCCAGCTCTGCCAGGCACTGGGGGCGAGGGGGGTAGGAATTTCCCAGGAACAGCCCAGCTCTGCCAGGCATTGGTGGCTCGGGGGGGGGGGGGGGAAGAAATTTCCCAGGAACAGCCCAGATCTGCCAGGCTCTGGAATGTGGGACTGGGGGGGGCCACTCTGGACCATGGCAGGTGCCTGGCCTGTCTCTTTGACCTGAGTGCGCATTCCCCCTGCAGGAGGGCACTCCCCCACTGTGGTGCCAGATCGCTCCCCGCCCTCACCTGCATGCTGGCTGCCGTGTGGCTCTCCGTCCAGCTGGGCATGGAAGGGCGGGGGGTGCTCTCTGGTGGGTGACACGCCGGCGGGTCTCTGGGGCTGCGGCAGGGTCAGCATGGTGATAAGCAGGGGCTGGGGCTGCCGGGCCTTCCATAAGCGCTCAGGCCCAGGGCTGTGCTGGTGACACAGCTTACTCTCCCATAGACGCTCTTCTGGGAGCAGACAAACTGTGGGGGCAGAGGGTTTGAGCCTAGGGACACAGCCCAGTGCCTGGGAGCTGTGGCAGGTCTGCTCTGACAGGGGGGTCCACCCATTCCTTCACACACACACACCCCACCCATGCCCTTAGCAAGCCACAACTGGGAACTGGCCTACAGAGAGCTTCATCGGGATCTGCCCAGCTCCAAGGGGTGGGTTCATGAGGGACACTGTAGACCCTATGCAAGCGGGCGATGGGGGCACATGCCTTGCACCAGTGTGGGAGTGGGGGACAGGGCAAGTGTCCTGATGATGGGGGCCATCTTGGGTATCCTGCAGGGGGCTCAGAGAGTCTCAAAGAGTCTGCTGCTCCCCCCTCACCAGTCTCCCCCACTCTGCTGCCTCCCAGCTCCCCTTCTGCACTGCCCTCCTAAGAACCTCTGGGAGCAGGCAGGGGAGGTCTGAGACAAGCAAGAGACTCCAAGGCAGCAGAGCAGAGGCATGCCCCCTCTCCCCCAGTTCTCCAGCCAGGGCCTGGCCACGCCACACGAGCAGACATCCCCTCTTAGTACACAGGCTCTCTCTCGAGATGGGGCCATCTGATGGACTTGGGTGGGCCCTGCTCCTTCATGCAGGGAGGGCCTTGCAGCGAGTGGCTGCGTGGAGCGCTGCTGGCAAAGAGACAGGCTTAGCTCTTACCCTTGTCACAGGGAAGCGTGTTCTCTTCATCTCAGGTTCATCCATGCTGCCACCCCCACCCCTTGGTGTTTGGGGCTGGCTTGATCTCCACTGAAAAGTTGGATCAATACAGCAACGCTGGTCAGGGGAGTGAAGAAACCACAGCCCTGACCAGTGTAGCTCTCCTGACAAAACCTCCAGTGCAAACACAGCTATGACAAGGCAGCTTCCATGGACATAGCTACCATCATTCGGGGGAAAAACGGTTACTCACCTTCTTGTAACGGTTGTTTTTCGAGATGTGTTGTTCACCTCCATTCCAATCAGGTGTGCGCACACTGCGTGCACAGTTGTTGGAAAGTTTTCCCTTAGCAGCTCCCGTCGGGTTGGCTATGGAGCCCCCCTGGAGTGGCACCTTCATGGCGCTCAATATATGACCCTGCCAACCCAGCGCCCCCTCAGTTCCTTCTTGCTGACTACTCCAACAGCGGAAGGAGGGTGGGTATTGGAATGGATGTGAACAACACATCTTGAAGAACAGTTACGAGAAGATGAGTAACCGTTTTTTCTACTCCAAGTGCTTGTTCACGTAGATTCCAATCAGGTGACTCCCAAGTTCTACCCTGGAGGTGGGGTCGGAGTTAAGGAATTGCTGATTGGAGCACCACTCTGCCGAATGCTGCATCATCTCTGGTATGTTGGGTGATAGCACAGTGAGAGGTAAATATGCACCGAGGACCATGTTGCTGCCCTGCAAATTTCTTGTATTGGGACCTGGGCCAGGAACGCCGCTGACGAGGCCTGTGCCCTCGTGTGCCGTAGGAGCTGGGGCTGGGGCCTTGACCAGCTCGTAGTACGTGTGGATGCAGGACATGATCCAGGAAGATATTCTTTGAGATGAGAGCAGGAGTGCTTTCATCCGGTCTGCTACCACCATGTACAGCTGGTTTGACTTCCTGAACAGCTAAGTGTGCTCAATGTAGAATGTTAGCACTCGTTGAACATCCAATGAGTGTAGCCTCTGCTCTCGACTACTGGCATGAGGCTTAGGCTAGAAGATAGGTAGAAAAATGTCTTAGTTAGTATGAAAGAGTGACACTACCTTGGGAAGCAAGGCTGGGTGAGGCCTGAGTTGCATCTTATGCTTGTGGAAGACTGTGTAGGGTGGATCGGAGACAAGGGCCTTTAGCTCTGACACCCTCCTAGCTGATGTGATGGCCACCAGGAAGGCTACCTTCCATGATAGAGAAGGCAACAAGTTGCTATTGACTCAAAAGGGGCCCCATTAATTTGGAGAGGACAAGATTGAGGTCCCATGCTGGGACAGGCTGTCTGGTCTGAAGATATAGGCATTCTAAACCCTTGAGGAAACAGCTTACCATGGGGTTAGCAAATACGGATTGGCCAGATGCTCCAGAGTGAAAGGCTGAGATAACAGCAAGATGTACTTTGATGGATGACACTGCCAGGCCTTGTTGTTTCAGGTACAGAAGGTGCTCTAGAATGAGTGGTACTGACGCCTGGAGTGGAGATGTACGCTGCTGGTCACACCAGCAAGTGGATCTTTTCCACTGAGCTAGATATGTGGTCCTAGTAGATGGTTTCCTACTGCCAAGTAGGACCTCCCTTCCTGGTTCTGAGCACAGAAGCTCCATGGGGTTTAACCATGAAGCTTCCAGGCTGTGCGATGGAGGGACAGACTTTGACTCCCTCAGGGAACTGATGGGCAGGATCCCCTGGGAGAATAACATGAGGGGGAAAGGAGTCCAGGAGAGCTGGCTATATTTTAAAGAATCCTTATTGAGGTTACAGGGACAAACCATGCCGATGTGTAGAAAGAATAGTAAATATGGCAGGCGACCAGCTTGGCTTAACAGTGAAATCCTTGCTGATCTTAAACACAAAAAAGAAGCTTACAAGAAGTGGAAGATTGGACAAATGACCAGGGAGGAGTATATAAATATTGCTCAGGCATGCAGGAGTGAAATCAGGAAGGCCAATCACACTTGGAGTTGCAGCTGGCAAGGGATGTTAAGAGTAACAAGAAGGGTTTCTATGGGTATGTTAGCAACAAGAAGGTCAAGGAAAGTGTGGGAGGCAATCTAGTGGCAGAGGCATAGGCGCCTCCGGGGCTGGAGCACCCACGGGGAAAAATTGGTGGGTGCTTTGCACCCACCAGCAGCTACTCACCCAGCTCACCTCCGCCTCCACTTCCTCCCCTGAGCATGCCTTCCCCCCGCTTCTCCCCCTAGCTCCCAGTGCTTGGCGCCGCAAAACAGCTGTTTAGCGGCAGCAAGTGCTGGGAGGGAGGGGGGGAGGAGGGGGAATGCAGTGCGCTCGGGGAAGAGGCGGGGCCAGGGCGAGGATTTGGGAAAGAAGTCCAACAGGGGCAGGGAGGGGGCGGAGTTGGGTGGGGACTTTGGGGAAGGGGTTGGAATGGGGGCGGAGCAGGGGTGGGAGAAGGCAGGGCAGGGGTGGAGTCGAGGTGGGGCCAGGGGCGGGGAGAGGGGGTCAAGCACCCACTGGCACCAGGAAAAGTTGGCGCCTATGGACAGAGGATGTGGAAAAAGCTAATGTACTCAATGATTTTTTTGCCTCTGTCTTCACGAACAAGGTCAGCTCCCAGACTACTGCACTGGGCAGCACAGCATGGGGAGGAGGTGACCAGCTCTCTGTGGAGAAAGAAGTGGTTCAGGACTATTTAGAAAAGATGGATGAGCACAAGTCCATGGGGCCAGATGTGCTGCATCCGAGAGTGCTAAAGGAGCTGGCAGATGTGATTGCAGAGCCATTGGCCATTATCTTTGAAAACTCATGGCGATCGGGGGAGATCCTGGATGACTGGAAAAAGGCTAATGTAGTGTCCATCTTTAAAAAAGGGAAGGAGGAGGATCCGGGGAACTACAGGCGAGTGAGCCTCACCTCAGTCCCTGGAAAAATCATGGAGCAGGTCCTCAAGGAATCAATTTTGAAGCACTTAGAGGAGAGAAAATTGATCAGGAACAGTCAGCATGGATTCACCAAGGGCAAGTCATGCCTGACTAACCTAATTGCCTTCTATGCTGAGATAACTGGCTCTCTGGAAGATGGGAAAGCAGTGGACGTGTTATTCCTTGACTTTAGCAAAGCTTTTGATACCGTCTCCCACAGTATTCTTGCCAGCAAGTTAAAGAAGTATGGGCTGGATGAATGGACTATAAGGTGGATAGAAAGCTGGCTAGATCGTTGGGCTCAACAGCTAGTGATAAAATGGCTCCATGTCCAGTTGGCAGCCGGTATCAAGCAGAGTGCCCCAAGGGTCAATCCTGGGGCTAGTTTTGTTCAATATCTTCATTAATGATCTGGAGGATGATGTGGACTGCACTCTCAGCAAGTTTGCAGATGACACTAAACTGGGAGAGGTGGTAGATACGCTAGAGGGTACGGATAGGAAACAAAGGGACTTAGACAAATTAGAAGATTGGGCCAAAAGAAATCCGATGAGGTTCAACAAAGACAAGTGCAGAGTCCTGCACTTAGGGCGGAAGAATCCCATCCACTGCTACAGACTACAGACCGAGTGGCTAGGCAGCAGTTCTGCAGAAAAGGACCTGGGGTTACAGTGGACAAGAAGCTGGATATGAGTCAACAGTGTGCCCTTGTTGCCAAGAAGGCTAACTGCATTTTGGGCTGTATAAGTAAGAGCATTACCAGCAGATCGAGGGAAGTAATCATTCCCCTCTATTCGGCATTGCTGAGGCCTCATCTGGAGTACTGTGTCCAGTTTTGGGCCCCACACTACAAGAAGGATGTGGAAAAATTGGAAAGAGTCCAGTGGAGGGCAACAAAAATTATTAGAAGGCTGGAGCACATGATTTATGAGGAGAGGCTGAGGGAACTGGGATTATTTAGTCTGCAGAAGAGAAGAATGAGGGGGGATTTGATAGCTGCTTTCAACTACTTGAAAGGGAGTTCCAAAGAGGATGGCTCTAGACTGTTCTCAGTGGTAGCAGATGACAGAACAAGGAGTAATGGTCTCAAGTTGCAGTGGGGAAGATTTAAGTTGGATATTAGGAAAAACTTTTTCACTAGGAAGGTGATGAAGCACTGGAATGGGTTACCTAGGGAGGTGGTGCAATCTCCTTCCTTAGAGGTTTTTAAGTTCAGCTTGACAAAGCCCTGGCTGGGATGATGTAGTTGGGGATTAGCCCTGCTTTGAGCAGGGGGTTGGACTAGATGACCTCCTGAGGTCCCTTCCAACCCTGATATTCTATGATTCTATGATTCTATGACTGGAGGTCCAGGTGATGAAGGTGACCATGGTCCTGAGTGATCAGATTGGAATGCAGTGGTAACTCGATTGGAGTGTCCACTGACAGCTCCAGGAGCATGGAGTACCAGTGTTGTCGGGCTACACTCGGGCCACCAGAATTACCTCCACTCTGCCTCTGCAGATCTTGAGAAGTGGCTTGTGCACAAGAGGGATCGGGAGAAAGGCGTCCAACAGGGTTGCCAGGGTATGCATACCTAATGACTTCATAGTCACCCGGGAGTCTTTTAAACTGTGCAGCTTGGAGTCTGTTTGCTCCGAAAATAACCCTGTGCCTTCAAATGGTAGCTCCTGCAGAGTTTGCTGCAGCTCTGGGGGCAACCCAGATGCCTGTAGCCATGAGCTTCTCCTCATGGCTACTCCTGAGGAAAGGGTGCGGGAAGCTGAGTCCGCCAAGTCCAATGAAGCCTGGAGGGAGTTTCACACCACTGCCTTCCCTTCATCAGTGATAGCCGAGAACTTGGCTCTGGAGTCTGGTGGAATCAGCTACTTAAACTTCAACATGGAGGCCCACGAGTTGCGTATATTTTCCTGCCAAAAAGGTCCATCCTTTTAGACTCCTCGGATTTAGGGGCCAGCCCTTGCTGCCCCCGTCTCTCTTTCTCATTCACTGAGAGGAGCATGGCTGTGAGTCAGAGAACAGGTACTCGTATCCCTTGGAGGGAACAAAGTACTTGCACTCTAGGCCCCTGGCGGTGGGCGGGATTGAGGCAGGAGTCTGCCATAGAGTCTTAATATTGCTCTGGATAGTTTTTATCAGTGGCAGAGCTACCCTGGACGCCCTTTGGCGCAAGGATGTCAACCATGGGGTCTTCAGGTTCCATCACCTTCTCCACCTGTAACCCCATGTTACGGGCAATCCTTCGTAGAAGGTCCTGGTGGGCCCTGTGGTCAATTGTGGGGGCCCCCGAGGTTGAAGCTCCTACCACTGCTTCGTCCGGGGACAAAGATGAGGAGGCCAAAGGTTGTATGAGGTCCTTCTGACCCTCCAGCTCCCTGACCTCCTCCTGTTCAGCATCTGGGACCTCTATGGTGACCATAGCTGAGGTGACAGTAGCCTGGCCTTGCAATGAGTCATGCCACCGAGTTGCCTCGGTGGTTGCTTGCGCCACGGTCGCCTCAGAACCATGGGGCATAGGCCGGTCCTTGGCTGTCTGGGTGGTCGGTGCTCCGAGGCCACCAAATGGGAGCCCAAAAAGGCCATTGCACCAGAGGCTGCCACTGGGATTGCCATGCCATTGGTGCCTTCCTCCATCGCTTGTTGGATCTATGCCTGCTGTGACGGGAATAGTACGAGTCACCATCCGAGTCCAAAGACACGGATCTCGACTGAGATGATCACAGTGGCGCCGCATGGTGCTGCGCTGGGGACCTGTGGCAAGTTGATGATGCAGGGGACCAGTGTGGAGACACCTGGGCCTGGGACTGAAATCGGGAATCCGATGTCGTGGATCCGATGCCAGGAACTGGTACTGAGAGTATGATACCGAGGGTCAGTGCCAATCTTCTCTCAGAGCCGGGGATCACTGCCACTCCCTCGTTGGTGCTGGGGAGCATCGTGCCACCGGTGCCAGGGAACCCCTTGCGGAGTCCGGTGCCAGACAGCAGTGCCTTGAGGGTGGCAATCTGGAGAGCTGTCAAGGCGAATGGTGCCAGGCAGGAGAGGGTGACCGCTGCGTCATGGCCAGCTTGCCTCTAGATGATACAGGTCGTGGCAGCACCGGGGGGCTTATCTCTGATCACGGGGGGCTGAGGAGCTGTCATCGCTATTAAGTCCTGGGGTGGAGGGTAACTCCAACTCCGCCACGTGGCACTGCCCATCCTTGACAGTCCCCCGTGGGAACCGAAGTTGACGGCGCTGACTCTTGCTGCCTGGACGCTGAGGGCTCCTTCACGGAACGCCCCAGTGCTGCGCCTGCAGGTGCCACTGTTTTCTGCACCGGGGAGCGCCCCCTGTCGGCTTTTCTATGCTGCTTGTACTGCACCAGTGAGTGTGAGTAGTGCTGGGTTGTCTGTGCACGCTGCGGTGCCAGGGAGCGCCAGTGCCGGGTCTCTTAGACTAGAGCGCTTCCTCAGCACCGTGTCACCATGGGCGACGAGTTCCATGGCCCGCGGTGCCCAGGCACCACGGGCCCGGCTCCTGCACTGTCTGAGGCCGGGTCTCTCCCTCGGCCCTGCCTTCTGCCATGGGCGCCCCCCCACGCATCCCCAGGGCCATTTAAAACAGCACAGGGCCCCCACTCACCACCGGCAGCGCAGCAGAGCTGAGCGGCTTCCTGCCTGCTCGCTCCACCTGCCTGCTGGCCCCTCCCTGCAGCCCCTGGGCGGGATGGGTCTGTGTCCCACCCCAAGCGCCCCTGAGGCCAGTGGGAAACTGCGGGGGCAGTGTCTGGGGGTAGCAGCACATGGAGACTCCCAGCCTACCCTGCCTAGAAGCCCCAGGTAAGCGCCGCACCCCACCACCCCCTCCCAGAACCTGCACCCCCAGCCCGGAGCCTGCACACAGAACCCAAACTCCATCCCAGAGCCTGCACCCCTACCCCCTTCCCACACCTGCCCCCAAACTCCCTCCCAGAGCTTGCACCCCTCACCTCCTCCTACATCCCCACCCCTTGCCCCAGCCCAGAGCCTACACCCAAACTCTGTCCCAGAACCAGAACCCCTCACCACCACCTGCACACCCACCCCCTGCCCTAGCCCGGAGCCTGCACCCAGCACCCAAACTCCGTCCCAGAGCCTGCACCCCAGATTCCCTCCCCCACCCAAACTCCCTCCCAGAGCGCAACCTCTCACCCCTTCTGCACCCCAATCCCCTGCCCCAGCCCAACCTGCACCCCAGACCTCCTCCCCCCACCCAAACTCCCTCCCAGAGCCTTAGGCAGGTGGGGGGCGGAGTTTGGGGGGGCAGGTTCTGGGCACCACCAACATTTCTAGAAACCTGCCGCCCCTGCATGTCACCTACCAATTCCAGGGCACTCCCTACAGACGTGCTCGGTGTGGGGTCTTGGCGGTCCGCAGCAGACTGGGGATGAAGGGCAGATTCCATGAACAACTGCTTCAATCAGAAATCTCACTCCTTTTTAGTTCTGGGGCGGAAAGCCCTGCAGATCTTTTACCTTTCTATCTGGTGCATCTCTCCCAGACACAAGTTGTGGTGGTCACTCGCTGGCATAGGCTTGCTGCAGGTTCCGCAGGGTTTAAAGCCTTGGGCTCGCGGCATGTCCCGGAGTCTGAGGAAACCCCGCTCCCAAAACTCACTATAGACAATATATACACTAACAACTAAGACTAACTACAACTAAACTAGGATAAGCTAACTATATGAAAGAACACTAAGGGAAGCACTTGCAAACCAAGCGATCGCAGTTCCAACGATTGTCACTGGCGGTAAAAAGGAACTGAGGAGGGGCTGGTCGTCAGGGTCATAGAATCATAGAATATCAGAGTTGGAAGAGACCTCAGGAGGTCATCTAGTCCAACCCCCTGCTCAAAGCAGGACCAAACCCAACTAAATCCTCCCAGCCAGGGCTTTATAAAGCCGAGCCTTAAAAACCTCTAAGGAGGCAGGTCCGATGGTAGTGGGTTATGGCTGGTCCGATGGTAGTGGGTTATCAGAAATTATTACTGTTAGTTTAACTAACCTTTTTGAGGGGAGGGATAGCTCAGTGGTTTGAGCATTGGCCTGCTAAGCCCAGGGTTGGGAGTTCAATCCTTGAGGGGGCCATTTAGGGATCTGGGGCAAAAATTGGGGATTGGCCCTGCTTTGAGCAGGGGGTTGGACTAGATGACCTCCTGAGTTCCCTTCCAACCCTGATATTCTATGATTCTATGAGGGAGATTCCGCCACCTACCTAGGTAACCCATCCAGTGCTTCATGACCCTCCTAGTGAAATAGTGTTTCCTAATATCCAACCCAGATCTCCCCCACTGCAACTTGAGACCATTGCTCCTTGTTCTGTCATCTGCCACCGCTGAGAACAGCCGAGCTCCATCCTCCTTGGAACCCCCTTCAGGTAGTTGAAGGCTGCTATCAAAACCCCCCTCGCTCTTCTCTTCTCCAGACTAAATAACCCCAGTTCCCTCAGCCTCTCCTCATAAGTCATGTGCCCCAGCCCCCTAATCATTTTTTTGCCCACTGCTGGACTCTCTCCAACCTGTCCACAAATATATTTGTGAGCCATATATTGAATGCCATGAAGGTGCCACTCCGGGGGCTCCACAGCCGACCCAATGGGAGCTGCTAAGGGAAAACTTTCCGACAACTGTGCATGTGGCACGCACATACCTGATTGGAATTGACATGAACAAGCACTCGAAGAAGAACTGGAGTTCCTACAGTGACTGGAAAACCCCTTCCATTGGCATAGGCTGCATCTACACGAGGGGGCTATGCCAATATAGTCTGCATAGTGTAGACATACCCTGGGATCTTAAGGTCTCCAGCAGGCATCTGGTGCCCTCCAAGACAATGGGAGTTGGATCAGGGGACTGGATGGAATGACCCTGGAGCTGGGCACTGCATCTCAGCCCGGGCAAGGTAGCTACATTTTATCTTACTCCTGCTCTCAGGGCTTGGTTGCTATGGAGGGCAAACCAGCGTTTGAAGCTTTTTGGGGCTGTGAAGAACACTATTTTGGAGCATCTATAGCTAAGGAGCAGGTTGGGCAATTCATTTCCAGTGTGGCAGAGAAATTCGACCTCTGCCCCAGAACTAGTCTCCTAATTCTGAGCCTGCAACTCCTTTGGTTTGTGGGTTTTAGGTGGAGTGACAAAACTGAGTTTATAACGGAAACTTGGTAGCAGCTTTAATTATGGACCAGCTCATGTTACTCCCTAATTACACACACCCATGTACACACACACCCTTTCTAGCACACGACGTGTGCCAAGACCACTTTGCACCCAGACCTGGTAGCTTCTCCTGGCGGGCATTAGGTTTTCTCCTCTGCAGATCTGAAATGAGGCCAGCTTCTGGAGTCCTGCCCTGTGTGGGGAAACATGGACACCGTAAGTCTCTCTCCACGCCTCCTGCCACGGCTCCGGCTCGGCGGCTCCGGCTCAGGAAACGAGGCATGGGCCTGTGCACACGGCAGCCATGTCACTGCTTGTAGTGAAGCTGCTTGGGCCACACCTGGAAGGGCTCTGCCTTTCCCACGCGACGCAGATGGCCAGGTTTCCAGAGAGCTCAGGGCCGGCACACACCAGAGTATGCAGCTCTTCTGAAAGTCCAGCCCCATTTTCTAGCAAGAATGGGGTGCTCTGACAGCTGCTTTCTGGCCAGTGTAAAATCCCCATCTGCCATGAGAATCTAGAGGGTAAGTTGGCTCTTGCCCTGGGCCTCCCACCTGATCCCCGTGGACTTTACTGTATGAGCTGGAACACCCCGATTCTGTAGGAGCGATTCTCCTTCAGTAGCGCCCTGATCTGCAGTGCCGCAGGTCTGCTCCAGCTCTTTAGCTACGCACAGGAGACCTGTCGTGCTGTGGGGGGCACATACTCCTCCCTCTGCCCACCCTATCAGAATGGAAATAGGGACCCTGCAGTGACAGGAGCTGGGAAGGAGCTGCTCTACCTCTGCGCCCCCCTCATTCACCATGGCCCCTGGCACTGGGGTCAAACCTTGCTACCTCAGCCGCGGCTGGAGGCCTCAGCCCTCACCGTGCTGGGAGCTGTACGAACATGGGGTCCCAGAGCAGACCTAACAGGTTATTGAGACAAAGAAGCAGGTTGCATGGGGGAGTCGGGGTTATGGCAGCGGATGCCTGGCTCTCAGACAGGCAGGGCACAGGCAGTTGGCGAAGGGACGTTAAAGGAAGAAGGAGCAAAAATTGAACCACCCTGCACCAGATCTGTGTGCGTGGGGTGGCGGGCAGCGAAGAATAATTAAGAGAGTGTCAGTGTTTTTTCAGTGTGTGTGTGTGTGTGTCTGCTTCCTCCTGCTGGCATGGATGAGCCTTCTGCTGCCCCGCCCCTGCTGCCAGGGAAGAGCCCTACATGTGTATGTCCATCCCCGCTGCGAGAGTGTTACAGTGTCTCGAACCCGGAGCCCTTTCAGACTCCATCCTCTGCCAGGGGTCAGGGAGACAGACGATCTCCAACGCCCCCAACTTGGAGTTGCAGGCGCAGACCCCATTGCAGTCCCCGGGAGCCCAGCTCCAGCAGCACCCTCTGGCCCTGGCTATGCAGTGGGGCCAAGCAGATGGTACTGTGGCTGTGAGCGGAGGGAGAGGGGAACTGCACTGCACCTGTTTGCCAGAGCTGTCCTTCACCGCACTGACAGGCTGGTGGGTCCGGCAGGTGGGGCTCCCCAACCTTCTCTCCCCAGCCACCTGCAAGGAGACCCAGAGGGGTATTTCCGAAAGAAAGCAAAGCAACCCTCTCCTCCCACACACCCTCCGCCAGCTGCTGGCAGAGCGAGCACTAGCCAGGGCGCTCCCCCAAGGGAGGAACTACACGCACTGGGAAGGGCCCCAGGGCACGGAGCCCACCAATGTGGCCAGGGCGTGAGTCACTCTGCGACGTGTGTATGTGGCCAAGGCCTCAGTCTCCCTGCCAGCCGCTTCTCCCTCCCTGCAGGGCAGGAAGCTGAACAAGGGCACATGCAGAAATGCACCCACAATACCCTTCAACCAGCCAGAGAGCTACCCAAGGCCGGCCCGTCATGGAGGACTCATCCATTGGGAGGCCTTTTCAGGCCCCTGCCTCGCTGTCCCAGGGAGGAGGCAGCTCCGTGGTGTGCCCCATCTGGCGTGCTCCTTACCAAGGTCTTGTCTTGGCACGTCAGCCCTTGGCTCAAGGCGTACTTCTGATGCAGCTCGTTCCTCTCCTTCCTCGTCCGCAGCCGCTTCTTCTTCTTCTGATGGAACTGGTGGGGTGAGCAAGGACCCCGCGGTCAGCACAGCTCCACCAGGGGACAGCCCTGCTCCCCAGGAAACACACCGTTCCCCACCACCCACAGCCCTTGATCAAGCCAAAGAAACCCACGTCGAGGCCAAGGCATGGTAACACGTCACCTGCAAAACTGGCCCCCATCTGGCCCATCCCGCTACCCTCGTTTGCAGGAGGCCTGGCCCTGGGGTGTGCAGCTCGCTGACGGTGCTTCAGCAACATACACCCCTCCAGAATTCGCCAACAGCAGCAGACTCCAGCCCTGACGGACCCAGCCCCAGCCCTCCCTGGGCTGCTCCCACTGCGGCAATAGCTGGGACCAGCTCAGCCCCGGGCGCTGCAGCTGGTTTCCTAACACCCAAAGCTCTCACTGCGGAGGGTGAAGGGTGAGTCGGGCAGCCCGGGTCGCCAGTGAATCAGGGAGCCCAGCCAGACTATGCTGCCCCGCCATTTCCAGCGTGCTGCAAACATTTGTATTCACACCCCACGTGCTCCTGGCCCCCTCCCATGAGAAAGCGTCACCCTGTCTGCCTCCAGCCGCCACGCAGCCCCTAAGCAGCCCCTTCCTAGAATGGCAGGTGGGCAGCTGAGGAGCTGGGAGCTAGCAGGAGAATGGCCACCCCATGTGGAGTGTAATGGCCTCACTTCCGGGGGCTGGGCATGGGGCATCGCACAGGGGTCTATGAGCCCTCATTCACATTGCCCCCTGGGCGCTGCCCATAGTTACATCCCTCCGCAGCCGTGTGGCTCTCACCTTCTCTGCCATGCTGAGTAAATGAGCAGGTAGGCCGTCGGACTGCGAGCTGTTGGAGCCGCTGGTGCTGCGCCAGGCAAAGAGAGCCCCTTAGCTGTTTGCACAGATTCCTGGCTGCCAAGGCCACAAGGGCCCATTCGGACCACCCTGCAGAAAAGACAGGCCCCCCCAGCCATCCCTGCAGCCAGCCCAGAACCCCCAGCTGAGCCCCCAGCCACCCCGATCCAGTCTGGATTTACGGATGTCAAGTGGCGGAGACTCGCCCAGGCCAGCTGTTCCAATGGTCATTCCCCTCCCTGCTGAACCCAGCCCCTTCTCTCTCCTCTGGACTTGTCACTTCAGCTCCCAGCCGCTGGATCTCACTCTGCCAGTGTCTGTGGCGTTCAGAGCCCCCTGCTAGCAGAAATCTCCTCCCTGCCGTGAGCCAGGAGGCTCCTGCTGAACTCACACTGCCTAGCAGGTCCCGAGTGCTGGGCGCAGCCAAGGCCCGGGGCTTTAGGGACAGAATGAGCTGGGGGCAGCTGTCGCTTGGGGGTTCTCCAACGCAGGCCAGGAGCACAGCCCCGCAGCTCTGGGATCTCTAGGCTCAGAGAAGTGGGTTTCATGGGGCCAGCCAGCCTTCCCCCAGTCAGGCACAGCACACCCTCTGCCAGGAGTGCAAAGGGCTCAGCCCACCCTCCTCCCTCCAAGGCTCCTCCGGAGATGGGCCTGGCCAGCCATGGACCAGGTGTCCCTGGGGCAGCAGAGCTCAGGAGGGTTCTCCTTGGAGGGTGACGGGGCGGCGGTACCTGGACTCAATGTCTGACAGGGAGATGTCGCTCCAGGCACCGTCTGAGTCCTGCCCACGGCCCAGATCCTTGAGCTTTTGATGGATTTGATGCTGAAGCAGCTCCTGGAGCTCGGACAGACACTGCAGGAACTGAGAGTAGAGAGGCAAGAGCTCACACACACCTCCAATGGAAGGAGTTTCATTTTTGGGAGCACTCCATGAGTCTCTGCTTGGCCAAACCCATCCCCTGCAGCACACACAGTCTAAAGGGAAGGAGCAATTAAGCCCCTTTATGGAGAGAGACAAATACAATAGAAGCTACTGCCCAAGGCACTCAGCGACATGGCAGAGTTAAACTGTGTGGTCTGAGGGCAACCCAGAGCTGGCTGTGAACACATGGGCTAGGGGATGGCATGGCAAGCTGTGTGTAAGAGAAAGAAAAGCCACAGACAGCAAGACAAGCAGTCGAGAGAATGGCCCTGGTAGGAAGCAGAGACACAGCTCTTTGGGCACAGACCTGGGGGATTTCTGAGCAAGAACACTGCCTGCTGCTGTTTGTTCCTTCTGTGCTCAGTGGAACAGAACTCTGCTTGCATACTTTTCAGCTGAACGGGATTAAACCTAGAATATCCCCGACTCGAAGTATCCGTTTTTCCTCCTAACAGAAACAAACCTGCAAGGCCCTGAGTACTGACAAACTGCTTGGGCCAGAGGGGCAACCTGGCTCCCACGTGCAGTGACTCTGGAACATGGCAGCCAGGGCTCAGACACTTGGATGAGCTGACAAAGATTCCATGACTGGGATGTCCAGTACAGAGAGTCATAGAATCATAGAATAACAGAGTTGGAAGGGACCTCTGGAGGCCATCTAGTCCAACCCCCTGCCCAGAGCAGGACCAATCCCAACTAAATCATCCCAGCCAGGGCTTTGTCAAGCCTGACCTTAGCCCTGGTCTACACGAGGACTTTAGGTCGAATTTAGCAGCGTTAAATCGATGTAAACCTGCATCCGTCCACACAATGAAGCCCTTTATTTCGACTTAAAGGGCTCTTAAAATCGATTTCCTTACTCCACCCCTGATAAGTGGATTAGCGCTTAAATCGACGTTGCCGGCTCGAATTTGGGGTACTGTGGACACAATTCGATGGTATTGGCCTCCGGGAGCTATCCCAGAGTGCTCCATTGTGACCGCTCTGGACAGCACTCTCAACTCAGATGCACTGGCCAGGTAGACAGGAAAAGAACCCCGAACTTTTGAATCTCATTTCCTGTTTGGCCAGCGTGGCAAGCTGCAGGTGACCATGCAGAGCTCATCAGCACAGGTGACCATGATGGAGTCCCAGAATCGCAAAAGAGCTCCAGCGTGGACCGAACGGGAGGTACGGGATCTGATCGCTGTTTGGGGAGAGGAATCCGTGCTATCAGAACTCCGTTCCAGTTTTCGAAATGCCAAAATCTTTGTGAAAATCTCCCTGGGCATGAAGGACAGAGGCCATAACAGGGACCCGAAGCAGTGCCGCGTGAAACTGAAGGAGCTGAGACAAGCCTACCAGAAAACCAGAGAGGCGAACAGCCGCTCTGGGTCAGAGCCCCAAACATGCTGCTTCTATGATGAGCTGCATGCCATTTTAGGGGGTTCAGCCACCACTACCCCAGCCGTGTTGTTTGACTCCTTCAATGGAGATGGAGGCAATACGGAAGCAGGTTTTGGGGACGAAGAAGATGATGATGAGGAGGAGGTTGTAGATAGCTCACAGCAAGCAAGCGGAGAAACTGGTTTTCCCGACAGCCAGGAACTGTTTCTCACCCTAGACCTGGAGCCAGTACCCCCCGAACCCACCCAAGGCTGCCTCCTGGACCCAGCAGGCGGAGAAGGGACCTCTGGTGAGTGTACCTTTTAAAATACTATACATGGTTTAAAAGCAAGCATGTGAAAGGATTACTTTGCCCTGGCATTTGCGGTTCTCCTAGATGTAGTCCTAAAGCCTTTGCAAAAGGTTTCTGGGGAGGGCAGCCTTATTGCGTCCTTCATGGTAGGACACTTTACCACTCCAGGCCAGTAACACGTACTCGGGAATCATTGTAGAACAAAGCATTGCAGTGTATGTTTGCTGGCATTCAAACAACATCCGTTCTTTATCTCTCTGTGTTATCCTCAGGAGAGTGAGATATAATTCATGGTCACCTGGTTGAAATAGAGTGCTTTTCTTCAGGGGACACTCAGAGGAGCCCATTCCTGCTGGGCTGTTTGCCTGTGGCTAAACAGAAATGTTCCCCGCTGTTAGCCACAGGGAGGGGGGAAGGTTGAGGGGGTAGTCACGCGGTGGGAGGAGGCAAAATGCGACCTTGTAACGAAAGCACATGTGCTATGTATGTAATGTTAACAGCAAGGTTTACCCTGAAAGAGTGTAGCCACTGTTTTATAAAATGTGTCTTTTTAAATACCGCTGTCCCTTTTTTTTTCTCCACCAGCTGCATGTGTTTCAATGATCACAGGATCTTCTTCCCAGAGGCTAGTGAAGCTTAGAAAGAAAAAAAAATGCACTCGCGATGAAATGTTCTCCGAGCTCATGCTGTCCTCCCACACTGACAGAGCACAGACGAATGCGTGGAGGCAAATAATGTCAAAGTGCAGGAAAGCACAAAATGACCGGGAGGAGAGGTGGCGGGCTGAAGAGAGTAAGTGGCGGGCTGAAGAGAGTAAGTGGCGGGCTGAAGACAGGGCTGAAGCTCAAATGTGGTGGCAGCGTGATGAGAGGAGGCAGGATTCAATGCTGAGGCTGCTGCAGGACCAAACCAGTATGCTCCAGTGTATGGTTGAGCTGCAGCAAAGGCAGCTGGAGCACAGACTGCCACTGCTGCCCCTCTGTAACCAACCGCCCTCCTCCCCAAGTTCCATAGCCTCCACACCCAGACGCCCAAGAACGCGGTGGGGGGGCCTCCGGCCAACCAGCCACTCCACCACAGAGGATTGCCCAAAAAAAAGAAGGCTGTCATTCAATAAATTTTAAAGTTGTAAACTTTTAAAGTGCTGTGCTTAAAGTGCTGTGTGGCATTTTCCTTCCCTCCTCCACCACCCCTCCTGGGCTACCTTGGTAGTCATCCCCCTATTTGTGTGATGAATGAATAAAGAATGCATGAATGTGAAGCAACAATGACTTTATTGCCTCTGCAAGTGGTGATTGAAGGGAGGAGGGGTGGGTGGTTAGCTTACAGGGAAGTAGAGTGAACCAAGGGGCGGGGGGTTTCATCAAGGAGAAACAAACAGAACTTTCACACCGTAGCCTGGCCAGTCATGAAACTGGTTTTCAAAGCTTCTCTGATGCGTACCGCGCCCTCCTGTGCTCTTCTAACCGCCCTGGTGTCTGGCTGCGCGTAACCAGCAGCCAGGTGATTTGCCTCAACCTCCCACCCCGCCATAAACGTCTCCCCCTTACTCTCACAGATATTGTGGAGCACACAGCAAGCAGTAATAACAGTGGGAATATTGGTTTCACTGAGGTCTAAGCGAGTCAGTAAACTGCGCCAGCGCGCCTTTAAACGTGCAAATGCACATTCTACCACCATTCTGCACTTGCTCAGCCTGTAGTTGAACAGCTCCTGACTACTGTCCAGGCTGCCTGTGTACGGCTTCATGAGCCATGGCATTAAGGGGTAGGCTGGGTCCCCAAGGATACATATAGGCATTTCAACATCCCCAACAGTTATTTTCTGGTCTGGGAATAAAGTCCCTTCCTGCAGCTTTTGAAACAGACCAGAGTTCCTGAAGATGCGAGCATCATGCACCTTTCCCAGCCATCCCACGTTGATGTTGGTGAAACGTCCCTTGTGATCCACCAGAGCTTGCAGCACTATCGAAAAGTACCCCTTGCGGTTTATGTACTCGGCGGCTTGGTGCTCCGGTGCCAAGATAGGGATATGGGTTCCATCTATAGCCCCACCACAGTTAGGGAATCCCATTGCAGCAAAGCCATCCACTATGACCTGCACATTTCCCAGGGTCACTACCCTTGATATCAGCAGATCTTTGATTGCGTGGGCTACTTGCATCACAGCAGCCCCCACAGTAGATTTGCCCACTCCAAATTGATTCCCAACTGACCGGTAGCTGTCTGGCGTTGCAAGCTTCCACAGGGCTAGAATCCTAGAATCCTAGAATATCCAGGTTGGAAGGGACCTCAGGAGGTCATCTAGTCCAACCCCCGGCTCAAAGCAGGACCAATCCCCAACTAAATCATCCCAGCCAGGGCTTGGTCAAGCCTGACCTTAAAAACCTAAAAGGAAGGAGATTCCACCACCTCCCTAGGGAACCCATTCCAGCGCTTCACCATAGAATCATAGAATCATAGAATATAAGGGTTGGAAGGGACCCCAGAAGGTCATCTAGTCCAACCCCCTGCTCGAAGCAGGACCAAATCCCAGTTAAATCATCCCAGCCAGAGCTTTGTCAAGCCTGACCTTAAAAACCTCTAAGGAAGGAGATTCTACCACCTCCCTAGGTAACGCATTCCAGTGTTTCACCACCCTCTTAGTGAAAAAGTTTTTCCTAATATCCAATCTAAACCTCCCCCCACTGCAACTTGAGACCATTACTCCTCGTTCTGTCATCTGCTACCATTGAGAACAGTCTAGAGCCATCCTCTTTGGAACCCCCTTTCAGGTAGTTGAAAGCAGCTATCAAATCCCCCCTCATTCTTCTCTTCTGCAGACTAAACAATCCCAGTTCCCTCAGCCTCTCCTCATAACTCATGTGTTCCAGACCCCTAATCATTTTTGTTGCCCTTCGCTGGACTCTCTCCAATTTATCCACATCCTTCTTGAAGTGTGGGGCCCAAAACTGGACACAGTACTCCAGATGAGGCCTCACCAATGTCGAATAGAGGGGAACGATCATGTCCCTCGATCTGCTCGCTATGCCCCTACTTATACATCCCAAAATGCCATTGGCCTTCTTGGCAACAAGGGCACACTGCTGACTCATATCCAGCTTCTCGTCCACTGTCACCCCTAGGTCCTTTTCCGCAGAACTGCTGCCTAGCCATTCGGTCCCTAGTCTGTAGCTGTGCATTGGGTTCTTCCGTCCTAAGTGCAGGACCCTGCACTTATCCTTATTGAACCTCATCAGATTTCTTTTGGCCCAATCCTCCAATTTGTCTAGGTCCTTCTGTATCCTATCCCTCCCCTCCAGCGTATCTACCACTCCTCCCAGTTTAGTATCATCCGCAAATTTGCTGAGAGTGCAATCCACACCATCCTCCAGATCATTTATGAAGATATTGAACAAAACCAGCCCCAGGACCGACCCTTGGGGCACTCCACTTGATACCGGCTGCCAACTAGACATGGAGCCATTGATAACTACCCGTTGAGCCCGACAATCTAGCCAGCTTTCTACCCACCTTATAGTGCATTCTTCCAGCCCATACTTCCTTAACTTGCTGACAAGAATACTGTGGGAGACCGTGTCAAAAGCTTTGCTAAAGTCAAGAAACAATACATCCACTGCTTTCCCTTCATCCACAGAACCAGTAATCTCATCATAAAAGGCGATTAGATTAGTCAGGCATGACCTTCCCTTGGTGAATCCATGCTGGCTGTTCCTGATCACTTTCCTCTCATGCAAGTGCTTCAGGATTGATTCTTTGAGGACCTGCTCCATGATTTTTCCAGGGACTGAAAATGGCAGACAATCGTTCCGCGCCTTTTTTCTGTGCGGATGCCATACCAAGGTAAGCATGGAGCTATCGCCACTCGCTTCTCAACTGTGAGGGCTACTCTCATCTTGGTATTCATGCGCCTCAGGGCAGGGGAAAGAAAGTCACAAAGTTCCATGAAAGTGCCCTTACGCATGCGAAAGTTTCCCAGCCACTGGGAATCGTCCCAGACCTGCAACACTATGCGGTTCCACCAGTCTGTGCTTGTTTCCCGAGCCCAGAATCGGCGTTCCACAGCATGAACCTGCCCCATTAGCACCATGATGCATGCATTGGCAGGGCCCATGCTTTCAGAGAAATCTGTGTCCATGTCCCGATCACTCACGTGACCGCGCTGACGTCGCCTCCTCGCCCGGTATCGCTTTGCCAGGTTCTGGTGCTGCATATACTGCTGGATAATGCGTGTGGTGTTTAATGTGCTCCTAATTGCCAAAGTGAGCTGAGCGGCCTCCATGCTTGCCTTGGTATGGCGTCCGCACAGAAAAAAGGTGCGGAACGATTGTCTGCCGTTGCTCTGACGTAGGGAGGGGCGACTGACGACACGGCTTACAGGGTTGGCTTCAGGGAGCTAAAATCAACAAAGGGGGTGCCTGTACATCTAGGAGTATTTCAGGCAGGACTTCACGGAGGGTTCCAATAAGAAATGGTGCACCTAAGTTATTGTTCTTATTGGAACAAGGAGGTTAGCCTGGCCTCTGACTGATACATGCCTAGATTTACCTCGCTGCACCTTCTCTGTGAGTGACTGCAGTGTGACCTAGAGGAATGAGTCCCCTAGACAGGGGAGGAGACAAATGAGTACAAAACAAATCTGGTCTATTTCTTGTTTTGACCCACTCCATCTATCTTTTACATCTTTGGCTGGCAGCAGACGGTGCAGAAGGACTGCATGCCATCCACATCTCATGGCTGCTCGGCAGAAGATGGTACAGTACGACTGCTAGCCATCCCCATCTCTTGCCTGCCTGGCAGAAGATGGTACAATACGACTGCTAGCAATCCTCATCTCTTGCCTGCCTGGCAGAAGATGGTACAGTACGACTGCTAGCAGTCCGTATCGCCTGCCCGCTCACCATAAGACGGTTCAATAGGACTGACTGCAGGACTAAAGAGAATGACCTGGTCAAGTCACTCCAAATTTAGTCCCTGCGCCCATGTCTGCCCAGGCGCTCCCAGCCGACGTGGCCAGGAGCACCTCGGACACGACGAGGACGACTACCAATCATATTGCACCGTCTGCTGCCAGAAGGCAATGGGTTGCTGCTACTGTGCAGCAAAGCCGTTCCGCGTCTGCCAGCACCCAGGAGACATAGGGTGACGGTTACCTGAGCGGGCTCCATGCTTGCCATGGTATGGCGTCTGCACAGGTAACTCAGGAAAAAAGGCGCGAAATGATTGTCTGCCCTTGCTTTCACGGAGGGAGGGAGGGAACGGGGGCCTGACGATACGTACCCAGAACCACCCGCGACAATGTTTTAGCCCCATCAGAGTGCTCCATTGTGACTGCTCTGGACAGCACTCTCAGATGCCCGATTGTTTGCCGTTGCTCTGACGCCGGGAGGGGCGCTTACAGGGTTGGCTTCAGGGAGCTAAAATCAACAAAGGGGGTGGCTTTACATCTAGGAGTATTTCAGGCAGGACTTCACGGAGGGTTCCAATAAGAAATGGTGCACCTAAGTTATTGTCCTTATTGGAACAAGAAGGTTAGCCTGGCCTCTGATTGATACATGGCTAGATTTACCTTGCTGCACCTTCTCTGTGAGTGACTGCAGTGTGATTAGAAGAATGAGTCCCCTAGACAGGGGAGGGGGGGAAGCAAATGAGTACAAAACAAATCTGGTCTATTTCTTGTTTTGATCCACTCCATCTATCTTTTACATCTTTGGCTGGCAGCAGACGGTGCAGAAGGACTGCATGCCATCCTCATCTCTTGCCTGCCTGGCAGAAGATGGTACAGTACGACTGCTAGCAGTCCGTATCGCCTGCCCGCTCACCATAAGACGGTTCAATAGGACTGACTGCAGGCAGGACTAAAGAGAATGACCTGGTCAAGTCACTCCAAATTTAGTCCCTGCACCCATGTCTGCCCAGGTGCTCCCAGCCGACGTGGCCAGGAGCACCTCGGATATGACGATGACGGCTACCAGTCGTACTGTACCGTCTGCTGCCACAAGGCAAGGGGTTGCTGCTACTGTGTAGCAATGCCGTACAGCGTCTGCCAGCACCCAGGAGACATAGGGTGACGGTTACCTGAGCGGGCTCCATGCTTGCAGTGGTATGGCGTCTGCACAGGTAACTCAGGAAAAAAGGCGCGAAATGATTGTCTGCCCTTGCTTTCACAGAGGGAGGGAGGGAACGGGGGCCTGACGATATGTACCCAGAACCACCCGCGACAATGTTTTAGCCCCATCAGGCATTGGGATCTCAACCCAGA